CCGACTGTGGAATGCCCTCCTTGCCACGCTTTTGTTATAAAGTGAAGAAATTCCTATTCCAGCAAGTGTCTGGGAACTGACCGTCTCACATAGTGGCTTTTCTGTTTTAGCACTGCACTGTTTTTAATCCATGCTTTTAAACTGATAATCTTTTATGCAATTTTAATTCTACAGTCAGTTTAACACTAATCTTATATTTTTAACTATATTTTAACCTGGAGAAGAGAAGGTTAAGAGGTGATATGATAGTCATGTTTAAATATTTAGATTGAGGATGGAGCAAGCTTGTTTTCTGCTGCTGCAGAGAATAAGACATGCAGCAACGGATTCAGACTAGAGGAAAAGAGATTCCAGCTCAACATGAGGAGGAACTTCCTGACATTAAGAGCTGTTTGACAATGGAAGACGCTGCTGCCTTGGAGGTGATGGAGTCTCATTCTTTGGAGATTTTTAAACGGGGGCCAGATGGCCATTTGTCGAGAGTGCTTTCAGTGTATATTCCTGGATGGCAGAAGGGGGTTAGATTGGATGGCCTTTGGGGGCACCTTCCAACTCTAGGATTCTATGAATCAATGGATTCACATTAGAAGAAAAGAGATTCCCCCTAAACATTAGGAAGAGCTTCCTGAGAGTAAGAGCTGTTCGACAGTGGAAGACACTGCTGTCTTGGAGGGTGATGGGAGTCTCCTTCATTGGAGGCTGTTTTTAAACAGTCAAGATGGCCATCTGTCACAGGGACTGCTTTGATTTGATCTTCCTGCATGGCAGAGGAGGGTTGGACTGGATGGCCCTTGAGGTCTCTTCCAATTCTATGATCCTAACTTTGTAATAGAGAAAACATGATTAAGGAAATGCACTGGTTCTACCATCTTTTCATCTGCATTTGTGCATCCCTCAGTCCAAGTCAGTGCTAGAACCTGATCCAAGGAATGCTCACATTCATTCCCAAGGAAATGAAACCTAACCACATGCATGTGCACACACATACACACACACACACACACAAACACAGCGTTTTCTCGCAGCCCAAACCACCGCACACTTGGTGGCAATTCAAAGAGCGCAGAAAGTGCTGGGTTTAGTTGACAAGTTATGAATATTTCATGTAGATACAGATATCTAAAGAGGGGCTTCTTGTTCAGATGTCTTATGTGGCCCTTTAGATACTCTTGGATTGCAACTCCCAACAACCCATAGCCACCATGAGCAAAGAATGAATGATGAGAACCGCAGTTCAACAGCATTTGGAGCATCTGATTCTCACCCAAGACAGACAGACTTTGCACACATACAAATACATACGCACATGCAAGAGAGACGGCTTCTTTACTGTGTTCCATCTTTTATTGCTGCTATTGTTTATTTATTTGAGTTTTTCCAGACTGTTTAAAAACTTGTCAGTTCCTACTGTTTCCCGCCTAGAGTTCTCCCTGCAGGAAATTTAGACTGATTAAAAAACAACAACACATTACAACACAAATACACAAAGGAAATCATCTATCTATACTGGAGCCCAGTCATGGGAATTGTGCAGTTCTCCAGATGTTGGTCAAACTGTAATTCCCATCCCCCTGACTAGCAAGCCTAGCCAACGATAAGGAATGCTGGGAGCTGCAGTGCAGCATACACTGGAGAGCCATACAAGTTCCACTCCAAGTACAGTACAAAATTCCCAAAAATCATGCCTACATTTGTGCAAGGGATGCCAGACCAAAAACTGGACACACCTCAATTCCCTGCATGGTTGTGTAAAAGAAGGAATTTCAGCAGGTGTGAGCAACATCTGTGAAATTCTTTCTTCTACACAACCATGCAAGCAACATGGCCTCTGCAGTTTTTGCCCTGACAACCCTAGTCCTCTTCCCTTTCTGGGCTGCATCTACACTGCAGAATTAATGCAGTTTGAGACTGCTTTAACTGCCATGGCTCAATGCTAGAGAATCCAGATCCCTGTGGCAGCAACCCCAGACTCTGTATTCTCTTCTCTTCCTCCATCTTACTGGAGGAGCCTGGATTTTGCTCATTTTAAGCCCTCACAGCACTGTGGGCATCACACAAAAGGCCACGGCTGGCTCTCCTCTACTCTCTGCCAGAAATGCCATACCTGCCCAGGCCTTACCTGGGACTCAGGTGCGAGCTCCTTCAAAAAGCCAGGCTGTGCTCAAAATAACAGACCACAACAATGCATTCACACAAACACTCGGGACAGTTTGAGGGCATTGTTCATGCCAGGGAAGAGGTGCTTCTGGTGAGCCACTTCCTTGGATCCTATGGGACCACTTTTGAATGAATATTGCAAAGACAATGGTAACAAAAATGCTAAACAATCTGCAGATTTATATAAACATTATTATTTTAAAAAAACCTAAAAAGCCTACAACCATATTTCATGTTTTTGGTGCCAAATCCAGCCCATACACAGACTCACAGAGTTCAATGCACCCCAGAGCAAGACTTGCTTGCAGAACCTTTGCTGCTCAGCAGTTATTGCAAGCAAACACAAAGCCCTACATCAAAACACAAAATACAGGTTGAGTCTCCATTACCTGAAATTCGAAATACTCCAAAATCCAAAATTGTCCATGTGGGTCACTGAGAGAGTGCCACCATGGCATTCTGATGGCTCAATGTACACAACCTGTTTCATGCCCAAAATTATTCAAAATACTGTGCATAGAATTACCTTCAGGCTATGTGTATAAAGTGTATATGAAACATACATGAATGTTATGTTTAGACTTGGGTCCCATCTCCAAAGGATC